AATCTCGCATAAGGTTAAAACGTCCAACCATCCAAAATTCCATAAAAAAGCGACGAGTAATATGACTACTCCAAAAAAATTACGAGGGCATATTTCACAATAGGGCTAGGTTTGGCTCTTGTCAAGCCGTCTCCCATATGTTTAGTTAATACATGTTTGACAAAGGAAATTAGCTATCCTTCAAGTGTATACTTTTAAGAGGGTGCCTTGCTGCTTTCTCTTTAATTTTCAAAAAATAAAGGAAGAAGCAAATAATCCATGCCTCAATAGCATTCATCATTATCGTCATCTAAACCTTATCCCAACTATTTGGGATGAAGTACATAGATATTGTTTTATCATTCTGCTCTATCAAAGGTCACACCTTCAGTCAAATTAGGTTATCATATTTTTTCTTACTATTCTATCTATGTCCTTTTGGGCTTTTCTTTTTGTCTTTTTAGAGCTTTCCACTTGTACCGAATTATCCCTCTTTACCGTAGTTGTTCTAGGTTGACGTTTTATATGATCAAACCACCTAAGTCTACTTTATCTCATCCTATTGTCTATTCGACCCTTAAATTCTCTCGGATGTATTTACTCCAAATTCTATACTTTCTTATTTTGCCTCTCATCCATTTCAACATCATCATCTCACCTACACTCATTCTATGGATATATTATTTTTTGACCACCTAACATTGTATACCATAAAGCTTGGATAGTCTCATAGCCGTCTTATGGAATTTTCCCTTTAATTGCGTTGGTATGTGACAATCACATAAGACTCCAGAAGCACATCTCTGTTTTGTTCGCCCAGCTTTAAATCAATATTTGACATCCTCCTCAATCTTTCTAGTCTCATAGATTAACGACCTAAGATATAAAAAATAATCTCTTTTAGGTACTTCTTGGTCATCAGTTTTAATCAATTCTTCATTTCTACTCCTATTATTACTAAGTTTACATTTCATATATTTTGTCTTTGTCCGATTTTTAAAACTTTTAGAATGTAGACCATCCATCAAAAGCTAAAGCTTTGTATTAACACCATCTCTAGCCGCATTAATCAAAGCTATATCATCTGCAAACAATATACACCATTGTATCTTATCTTGTCAATGTCTAGTTAATACGTCCATAATCAAAACAAAGATATATGTGCTTAACATTGACTCCTAATTTAGGCCCATTGCAACCGAAAAACCATTTGTCTCTCCACTAATGGTCTTTACATTAGTTAGAGCTCCCTCATACATATCTTTCACTATGCCAATATATCCTCTAGAGGCTTATGTTTTATCAAACACCCACCAAATAAGCTCTCTAAGTACCCCAGCATATGTTTTCACTTTGTAAATAAAGACATATGGTGGTCTTTTCTCTTCTCCCTAAACTTCTCAATCAATTGCTTAAGTAGAAAATCAGTTTTATACTGCTTAAATTATAAATAAAATTTCAAAACTCAACTATAAGTGAAAAACCCAAATAGAATCCCCATTTAAAATACAAGGCCTTACTTAGAAATCCATGAAACCCTAATTCTAACAGAATTAGAAGTCCCAATTAAAATAAATTTCATAATGATGCTTATACCTTGGTAAAACAAATATTTAGTTTAGAACTAAAATGCTATTCCACACAACCCTTAAAATCATAAAAAAATTCTTAAATCCTTAAAAAAAAACTCTACTAACCTGAAAGTGTAACTCTAAAAAAAATCCAATAGATACATCCTTAAAATTCAACAAAAAAATTTCAAAAAATAAGACCCATCATATCTTCATCAGGAGAGGAGGTCTTCTCCCATTCCCAATTTTTGGGGCCTGGCAGAACCCTAAAATGATAACACGTCCCAAAATAGTATAAGAACCAAAATCCCAAATCCAAAGCAGGTCTGAGCCAGAGAACACTCAGAAAGTCTAGCATGTGAGAAAGGCTGAGGCCTAAATTGACTTGACCTGGACTTCTAATCCTTCAAATCTCACACCTCAAACCTTCAAGCTCAAACCCGCAAACTCTGACCCGGAATTGAAACCAATCCAATTCCATAAGCCTAGAAGAGCATTTAGAGCCACGGGCATCATGGGAATTCAACCAACCAAACTTCATTTGCAAAACTCTGACCACAGTTAAGCTGCACCAGCAAGATTAGCGTGGACCGCTCAACAAAAGAGCGCTCCAAATCCGGCCAAGTTGAAGTCCTCTTTGTCTTGATAGCATCACCTTCTGACAAAATTTAGAACTTGGTTGGAACCGGTTTCTATGCGGCCAAGCTCGCTTATGTAGAAATGCGGGTCTAGTAATAAATCAATTTTTGAGATGGATTTTTGTACTTAATCTATAACATGAGGTCATGAATATGAAAAAATAAGTAAATTTTTAAAAATAGAAACAATAATTCTTAGTGAGAAAACATTTGGACTATTAGTTTCCGTTGTTTTTAATTGGAACACCTACTTGCATCTATCCGGATAGATGCTTTACACTGTTTGGACTGCATATGTAGAAATGCAGTTCAGCCCGCATGAAACAATTGTCCAACTTAGTTTCTTTGAAAATTAGCACCATTATTAAGGTACACCGGCAGGACCAGCGTGGACCTCCCAAAAGCATGGGCCAAGTTAAGTCTTACGGATCTTAATAGAGGCACCCACTGATCGTTAGCGTTAGGCATTAAGCTCTTCTACTTTCTAATTATATCTTTTTATTATCTGGTGTCTCGAGTGTGTACTTCTTTGTCACTCGTGTCATTCAAAGTGTGCAATATGGGTGCAAAAAGGGACAAATAGGGACAACTGCTGGCATCCTATTTTGGCTAATACATACCCATAAACTCAAACTATAGGGTCTAAACCTAGTCACCTTCCCAAACCCATCCTTGAGCTAAAATTGAACTTTTGCCCGATCCAATTCTCTATTCCTAGCCTATTACTAGTGTACCATGACCCATACTCCATGCACCCTATGGGAATGTAGAAATTCCATAAAGGACCACTAAAAGAAAAATGAAAGGCCAACCTTCTATAGTCCATAATTTGACGGTTATCTACCTTTAACCAACATTGTTGAAGAGCTGTTGGGTTTGGTGATAGTCAAAATCACCACACCTCTATTTCATTCAAAAATTGAAGGTGTTATGGAAAAAAAAAAGGGGTCTTCTTTGGTTAACAAGAAAGAAGCCCAAGTGATATTTATAAAAGAGAGTCAATGAAGGCATAATACTCATCCTTTCGAAGGTCGCCCCTTTAGGGGTTATAGGAATGAATCTCCAAATATGGAGATTGATTTTCAAGAGAGAGACATGACCTCCGGGAGAGAGGTGGTATTCCCATGAATTTTGGGTTGGTAAGGCTTCAACTTCAGTTGCTCTCGAGGTTATCTTTCCCACTGTGGTATTGCGGTGGGAAAGAAGGTATTGATCATCGATGTTGCTTGGTAGGAAGAGCGAGTTTAGAAGGGAAGATCAGTGATGCTCTTTTACCGACGTTTAGAGAGAGATATATCTCTTGTAACCCAAAACTATAATTTTCATTGTGATAATGGATTTCTAGTTGTTGAGGCCGTGGATGTAGTGATGGTGTGTTTTTTTATGCTTACTTTATTTCACGCACTCGATTTATAGTTGTATTCATCTACTTCGCATTTAGCCAATCATGTATACAATCTTGAATAGGATCCTGCTATTTAGGATTCCCGATTCTGCAAGCAAGGGTTCCCGAGAACCCTTCAAGAGCAAACTTAGGTGGAGAGGTCTCGTGTCCCCTCGGCCCAGCTTTGGGTGTAAACACAATGAACTAGAAATTCCAGGTTCCAAGGAAGCCCCAGCTTCCACTTATTAAGAGTTTTTTCTTGCTTTTCAATTTCTTTGTCTTTTTTTTTGAATGCTTGGAATTTTTCCTAGATTTCTCTTAATTATTGATCTTTTGGAATACTATTTCGGGAGATGCTTTGCAAAGCGTGCATTTCTATTTATTCAAACATGATCTTCAAGAAACGGTTTGTCAAGAATTTCGCTTTGGGTAACATTAATCAAACACAATGTTTAAATATGTGGAAGGGTGGATGGAAACGAGGTCAACCGCCTGTCCGAGTTGAGTCACCAAGTTGGCCAATTGCGATATTTTAAAAAACCAAAAAAAAAAAAACAGAAATGGGAAAAAAATGCAAAAAAATAAACCAAAAAAAGAACATAGTGATGAATTCCAAACCACCTATTTGATTTCATCTAACAATAACTATAACAACAAAGTTTAAAGCAAAATGGAAAAAAATAGAAGACAAAATTAGCAAAACAAAAATCGATCATGAAGATTTTTTGTTTGGATTCAAGAAAGTTCATTCGGACTTTTGCACATCAACGTGGTAGGAAATTTTTGGGACAAATTTGAACAAATCTAGTGCGAAATAAAAAATTTTCAATTTAGGTTTCCAAAAACTCCGCAAATTTCAATTATAGATCTCTTTGAACTAAGGTTGTAATCCATCAAATTATTATATGTTTCCGTTTCAAAGGTTACAATCCAACAAATTATGATATGGTTTCGTTAACAGGGATTTCATTAAACAAAATAAAAACACTTTGGTGGGGAATGGAGAGAAAAATCAAAAGAAAAGCAGATATGGCCTCAAAAAATGGCAGGAAAAAAAACCAAATTTTGGTCTTAATATTTCATAGATTTGGGCTTTGGTAAGAAAAATATTTTTTTAAGGTTCTTGTAGATGAGCGAGATAGGAACAGGACAACTTTGATGAAGTGAAAAAACAATCAATACCATTGCATATTATGTTCATGACATAAGAAATAAGAAACGAAATATAGACCAAACTCCCACGAATTCCAGGAAACTTGGGCCAGTCCCACATCTGCCCCTGTTCAACTCAAGTGCGTCTGAGTCGAACGGCCACTTTTTATTTTGAATCCATGATCAAAGTTAAGGTTTTAAAACTTTCAGACAAACAAAACCTCATCAATGCCAAAAAAGAATGGATGCAAATCCTCAAAGAATCAAAGAACCGTGTAGCACCAAGATAATTCCAATTCTAAAATTATTAAAGCGCCTTCAAGAACAAGATATTTCCAATCTAATATATACAAAGAACATAAAACACACTATTGCAGCATACAATGGAGTCCACAAAGTGCATATATAAGTGTCTACAAAGAAGGAAAAAACTCAACAATAATTAGCACAGGTCCTCTTAATAATAAAGAGGTATTTCATTCTATTGGTGCTTGTAATAACCACCTTGTTGAGGAGGATAAGATGGTGGAATATGATACGGAGGTGGAGGGTGAGAACCAGGTTGTGGAGGAGTTGGAGCATAGTATGGAGCACGCCATGTTGGGTAAGGTGGCTGACCATAGTTTTGGTTTTCAGGTTGTTGAGGCATTGGAGCACCTGTTGGGTGGTGCGCGAAATGGGAAGGGGCTTGGGTATGGTGGTAAGGGGGCTGTTGAGGATACGTATGGGGTGGCGTACTGCTAGAGAAAGGTTGCGAGGGCTGAGAGGATGGAGGAAATCCAGGCATGGGTGGTGTACTCTGGGGGTCTGGAGTATGCTGCGTGGACCTCTGTCCTGGAGCAGGGTAGTTAGTGAACCTGGACTTAGAGTCGTTGAAGTTGAGACCTGCCATTTGCCTTTGAACATCCTCCATCATTTCTCGGCATTGGATGTTCCTGGTCATGATGAAGTCGCTGCACTGTTGTTTGATGTTGGTGATAGCATCCTGATTGAGAGAAAATAACAAAGTAGAGTTACCCCTGATATTGTCTCTCTCACACACGAACACAAATTTTGAAGTTGAGTTCTAGGAAGCTGATATTTATGAGAATCTACAACATCTCTCTCTCTCTCTCTCTCACAAACACACACACACTGAAATACATCTACAAAATGACAACTGTAAGTGTCTAGAACAAATAGAGCAAGTACAGACGGTCACTACCTGAAGGGTAACATAGAACTTCAGTCCCTCATTTATATTCTCCCTGATCTCACGATACTTCGTGATTGCTGCACTTATCTGCTTATAACTCTTCTCGCGAGCAGCTGAAAGAAATTTTGAAAAAGATCAATCACCAAATAGATACAACTCGAACGCCATTGTAGTGCTGCATGTAAGATACAATATATCCTGAACATTTGCCGTAAATGCAACAGCATTGAAGTTGATCAAAGTGCAAAACTCTGTAATGGAATGACGAATAAATACAATATTGATAATCTAAGAACACAATGCAACAGGATGTAGTCAGTAACGTGCTTAGCAAAATAAAATGACACCTGAAACTTCTCTTCATTTCCTATAAGGATCATCTAGATTTTATTTTCTTATATTATCTCAAAACTCACAACGTAACAGGTCAAGTATCTGTGAGTTTGCGAGAAGAATATAGACCTCAATGGGAATAAAAAAAGGGTACATAACATGGGATGTAAATACTCAAATACAACTTTGTGTATAGTGAAATAAACCAAAACTAACTAAAAGTCCCAATCGAACAAGCCAATTATTCCTTTAAATACTACATCCCTTAAAAGAACTAGGGACGAAGGTTTGAAACCGACCTTTGTAGTCTTCAAGATTAAAAACTGCTGCAAAATCATCATTTTGAGCCTGCAAACCAAAAAAAAAAGGGAGCTTGTTACCACAATTCAATCAATTTCAACAAGTATATACTAAATTCAATTGGAATCATAAAAAAGAACGTTACAAAAACAAAACAAAAATTACCAGATTATTTACAACATTTGGGATGAATTAGGTGACATCTTTCCATTTTCCATATAGAAATATGCCAATTTATAAGTCTCTCAGTGTATGGTGCATTTGCAAGACCTATCACAAAGCTCTATTCATTCTATCAATGTATATGGTTCATGGGAAGTTAGATATAAGAAAATAAATAAATAATTGGATGCTCGCATATTGACACAATGGATACAACAGGCCTTCTAGAATTAGCTTTACTATGTCCTAACCACTGCAAATATTCATCCGTTTATTTGGCAACAAATTTATTTCCCAATGTAAATCGACCTCAAAGTTATACAACAATCACGATGATTCAACTAATTGCAAGAGAAATTAACATAAGCCGATATTGAAACCCCAAGATCAATTAGATGGAGCCATTAAGCCCTTGACCCATGCAATTGCTGGAAAGTAGGAAGGAAGCTTTAGCTCAAAGCTCAGAGTTTATACAAAATACAACTTAAGCCAATAATATGAACACAATAAGCCCAAAATTCATTCCTCGCAACACAAAAAAGAAAGAGTACATATATATAGACCTTCGATGATCTTTCTAGACTTCCTCTGGACCTTTATAATTACTTTTTCTGTCCTAACATTAGCCCAAAATACTTGGACAAAAATTACATGAAATACTCTACAACACATTTCAAATTCACTTTGTCCGCAATTCATGCTTTGGACTTCACACTCTCATGGTAGAAAATCCTCATCTTGGTACTCTATACAACATCAAATTTTAACTTTTTAGTATATATGACGCAAAACTTCCCTTCACCCAAAAATTTCCCCAATATATTTCTTACTTATCCAAAACACCCCACCCCCCCTTCCAAAAGAGATTGTTTTTCATTTTGGTAATTCCCAACATAACTGTTGATTTTTGTAATGTTTCATACTTGGGGGCCTTTATAAAATGTTGACAACTAGGTCTGAGTCTTTGTATAAATTGTAAAGAAGTACGGCCTTCATTCCTTTGATCTCATATGAAATGAAACCAGGTGTCAATGTCTTTGCTTCTCTCATGAAAAGCCGGTGTTTTTTGGCAAGCCAATCAGCGTGTTTTTCTCAATATGAACTTCTATTGGAGTTTCATGAATATTTTGAAGTTACTTGAGAAGATTTTGTTGTCACAATGCATAATACTTGAGGTGGCAGTCACATACTTGACTTCACAAGTATAGAATGTTATAATACGTCGCTTTTCTAACTATCCAGTAAATGTTGAAGTCCCCATATAGAAACATAATGCAAGTACTTTGTTTGTCATCCAAGTCTCCAGCCCAATCACCATTTCTAGAACTTAAAATATCCAAAATCATAAGGACAAAAGTTACATCAAATGACCGTTTCAAGTGGGATAGCTTGGAGCCTCAAACACCAGCTAACCAAGCTGACTCCATATAGAATATCTGGTATTATACATGTCAACCAGCAAAGGCTACCCATAACTATTTTAAAGGATCGACCCTCTCACCATCACCTTCCTTTCTCAACTTTAGACCACTTCCTATATCTTAAACTTCTTAAGAATTCCTTTTCTACAGGCTTTTCGAGATATAGAAATTCCATAATCCATTTGTTTTATTCTAATACTAGAGATATAAGACATAAGCCCAATATCAGTCCTTCAAATTCCCTAATCATGGAATCCTTGAACACTTGAAACATGCCCAAATTATTTCCTATAAAAAACAGATCATAACTATACAAACAAAAAAGTAACATGCCTCCTTTTTTTGTGTATCTTTATGCATAAGGCATATCACACAGGCACCTACTAAAACCATTTTGAAAGAAATATTTATCAATTATACTATCCCATACCCTACGTATTTGCTACAAACCATATAATGCCCTTTTCAATTTGCAAACTCTAGTTTCAAGTGCCTCCTTATTCAAGAATATTATTCAAGAATTTGAAAAAACCTACAAGAATCAACTCCCTTAATTGAATTTTGAAGAATCAGAGTATTTAGAGGTTACGACCGTTTGATCAACTTTATGGATTCTCACAAGCTTACGAGCAAAGACTACTAAAGAAAGTCCAAGCACATTACATGGACTTCGAAACAAACTTATGGTGAAAGAAGATGATAAAAAATAAATAAAAAATAGAGGTAAAAAAACAAAAACAAAAACAAGAAAAAAAGAAGAAAAGAAAGAACTCATGGAGGAAGAGGCTGCAGAGGTCAAGGCAAAGGAACAAACTCTGGAGGTGAAAGAGGCCAAAACCCAAAAACTCAAAGAAGGCAAGGAACAAGCAACTTTGCAGGCCAGGTAATCACTCAGAATATGAAAAATCCAATGATCAATGTTACAATATCAAATATAGCCATTGCAGTTCTAACCATAGATACATATCTCCAAATGAAGTGCCCCAAAAAGCTAACTTTGTAAAAACGAAAACATAGAAGAACTTTAACTTTGGCCTACAAGGATACAATTGTGAATCCAACAAATACTTGGTATCTTGACACCGGTGAAACCAACCACACGTGGTAGAAAGGATTTGCTTGTGAAAGTGAATGAATCAACTAAAGGGTATGTGAACATTGGAGATTTATCTAAGAGATTGGGAAAAGGCAGAGGTAAACTTTTAATTTGAAATAAAATTATGCTCATCTATTAATTTATTGTCAGATATTAAAAATAACATTTTGAGTTATGGGCAACTCTTAGATAACGTGTATAACATCCTCATGAGAAATGGTAAACTTTTTATAAGAGATCAAATGAACAATTTGTTTGCAAAAATGATCATGTCTAAGAATAGAACGTTTTCCGTGAATATTCATATGCAAAATTTGAAATGAATCAAGTCTATTTTGAGTGACAAATCATAGTTATGGCACTTATTTTTTGGGCATCTAATTTTTGTGGCTTGAGGTTTTGGTCAAAGGTAAATGTGGTGAATGGATTTGCCCTGGATAAAGCAACCGGAATATATATGTGAAGGGTACATAGAGTGGAAAATCAAGAAAAGCATTAAAGAGTGCATAGAATGGAAAATCAAGAAAAGCATCAAAGCCTCTCCAACTCATGCATATAGATGTGTGTGGACCTCTTCAACCTGCGTCACGTTGGGGGGGGGGGGGGGGGGGAAGATATTTTCTAACCTGTGTTGATGATTATAGTGGCAAAACATGGGCATATTTTATTAAAGAGAAACCAAAAGCTTTTCAAGTAATTTAGGACTTCAAGTCTTTTGTTGAGAAACAAACCGCCTTTAAATTAAAGTAATAAGATCTGATGGAGGTGGAGAGCACATTTGAAATATTTTTCAAAAGGATTTGCCATCAAATGGTAACCTCCTATGCACCACAACAAAATGGAATCGTAGAAAGAAAGAATAGAACCATTTTGAATATGGCAACATGCATCTCAAAAGAAAAAGGCATAAAAAAAGGAATTTTGGGCTGAGGCCGTTGTACAGTGTATTTATTGAATAGGTACCCAACCACAAATATGTGTTTCATGACACCTAAAGAAGCTTAGAGCTTCGACAAGCCAGAAATAGGGCATCTAAGAATTTTTAGGCATATGGCCTGTGCCAAAATTTCCGAAGAGAGAAGGCAAAAGCTTGATCACAAAGGAGAAAATCTATTTTCTTAGCCAAAGGTTACAAATTGTACAAACACTTTACAATCAAAGTTATTTTTGAGCAGGGATATGTTTAATGGCAATTTACCAAAATACCCACAAGAGATCAACTACTAACCATTTTATCCATTTGGAACTATTCCAACTCAAGACCATGTATTGGTTTATGGGTATTTTGAAATTAAAACAAAAGCTACGGGTGAAGTGTTAAATTGTTCATCTCTTATGGGTAATTTGATAAATTTCCCTATGTTTAATGAAAATGTAGTTTAGGACCGGAAAATAAATCAAGAAAAGAAAACTTCAGCTATTGAGGAGGCGAAAGAAAAGGATGAAGTTGAACATAGAGAAGGCTCTCGGACTCCCATTCAAAACTCATCCTCCAATTTCCCATCTACTTTTCTAACAAGGAGCTCATCTCATGTCACCAAAACCAAAAAGCCTTCAAGAGATATATACATTAACTCATAGATATATGCATAAACTCATAGGCTTAATGTTGAAAATCATGAGCTCAAGAGGTAGAAGAAATTAAGAATAACAGTTGGGAGCTTACAACATTACGAAAAGGCCACAAAGCTGTTGGAGTCAAGTGGGTCCACATGACAAAGAAGAAAGAAAAATGGGGAGGTCAAAAGGCACGAGGCCAGGTTGGTTACTAAAAGCTACAATCACCTCGAAAGTGGTTACAGTAATGTATTTGCACTAGTTGCCTGCTTAGAAACTGTTAGATTGATCACTTCTTTAGCGGCACAAAATAAATGGGAAAGTTTTCAAATGGATGTACGATCAACATTTATTAAAGAACAGTACATTGAACAACCTCTGGGCTATGTGAAAAAAGAGGTCCAAAACTAAAATTTACAAATTGAAAAAGGCATTTTATTGTTTAATGCAAGCACCTAGGGCATTGAAAAGTCGAACAGAACAATATTTCCTTAAAAATGATTTTTCTCAGTGCTTATACGAATAGGGCTTTTACATAAAGGTAAATACGAAACCAAGCATTTTACTTGTTTGTTTGTAAGTCGATGACTTAATTCTTAGTGGAAAAAATCCAGGCACATTTCAAGAGTCCAAGGAGTCCATGATTCAGAAAGTTGAAATGACAGATAACAGGCTCATGCCTTTTTTCTTTTGCACTTAAGGAAATCAAATGGATAGTGGAATTTTTCTACCTCAAAAAGACTATGCAAAGGAAATTCTTAAGTTTAAGATAGAGAGATGCAACCATGCAAATGTCTTATTTGCAAAGTTGA